GTTTTGATCCCAAATTGGCCTTGAGAGCAAGTGCTGACAAGATCGCTTCTGGAAAGCCGCTGCCTGATAGGTATTGGGCTGCCTCCTGGTATTCTGAGAGTGACCTCCAAGGATGGGAGGATGGGAGGATGGGGTATGACTACAATTCTGGGGCTGCACCTAAAGTAGATCTTGCCAACAGAAGGCAGTTAAGAGTTAGGTGAAATTGCAGGTCAAGAAATAATTTATTATGTGCCATTATTTACTTGTCAATCCTTGGCAGGTGTCAAGCCGTGCCTGTGCCCCTCAGACGCATGGGGCAAAGAATCCCTCTCTGCATTTGGGATGACGTATGCAGATTCAGCTTGAAATGGAATAAGTCGTCTCGGTGATCTGCAGGGTTGTGGCTAATGAAACCTGTTTCAGAAGCACTCCAGCCCCAGTTTTAACATAATTCATGCCCCTTTGTGTTTTTTCCAAGAGTGTGGTACAATGATTTTCAAGACTGCTTGCCTGTCCAAAAGCAGCTGGCACGAGGAGAAGTGATTGTCCGCTTCGGTGGCTGCGTCCATGCACACCCAAGCTTGAAAGCATAGTGGCACACGTTTGGTGCTTGGTGGTAGGTCCATTCTAATCGTGCAAAGGTGGTTGGCTACGTGTTTCAGGTCACACTTGTCCTCAAACCGGCGCATAGCGTCACGCACATTGTTTGCCAACTTCTCAGACACCAACACTGGCGCTGTCACAAATGCCACAGAAGCAGTGGGCTTGTTGCGAAAAAGCGCTGTCATCAGGTCCACCATGGAGGATATATCCTTGTTTGTAGTCTTCCCCAGCTTGGTGAAGTCGATCCAAACAATCAGGCTTCCGTTCTTGGCAGTCATATCATTCATGAACTCAGGGTCAGGGTTGGGATGCCATGCAATGCAAATTAGTTCCCCTTAATGTCCCATAAACCCAAACCCAAACAATTTGGTCACATGTCCTTCTCCACAGCCATTGTAACATCTGGATCTTCCCATGGTGCCCCACACTTGAAGGACGCTGAAGAATCCATAAAGCCCTTCACAATTGCAGCTCCAATCGTATTTTGATTCTTCAAGTGAAGAATCCGAGCTGTCCTCTTGCTTTTCCTTCCAAAGTCTTGCCAATCATGATTTGAATTCACGTTACTGTTAGGATGTAATTTGTCGGATTCATTCCACACACCATTCCATGAAGTGTTGCATAGCAGTTTCCGGGTTGACCCAAACCCTCTCACACCTAAAGAGGGAAAATGACACTTTTCGAGACAGGGTTCACAGAACGTTGATCGGCTTCAAAAAGCCGCCCGAGCGTTGCACAATCTCTGGTCAATTGCAGGACATCTCGGTCAAAGGCCGCCTTTCCTGAAGGCGCGACGGCAACTCGCTGGCAGAGAAGGGAGGGGAAGCTTTGGGAGGAGGGCTTTGGGATGTTGGGTTCGGCAATCAAAACCTGAAAGCTTAGCAAGTACAACCACCTAGATTCGGGCGTCTTGTGATAAAGACACGAGCTGCTCATCCACTTTCAGAAATGCATCTTCCTTGTGGACCCAGAACAAAGTCAGGTACAAAAGCAATTTTGGTCGTGTGATGTTAGTTCTTGAAAGCCCCATGAATGAACTAACATGAACTAACATAAATTCAGAACCAATACTCATACAAGGCACAGTGGTTGCGCTGCTTTGTTTGATGTTTTCTTGCCAGCATGTTGCCAATGAAGCTGCATAGGTGGGGTCCTTCAATGCGAGCGCCTCTTTGATCTCAGGGTGAAAGTCCCTGAAGCAACCGATTTTCAGGCCAAACCAGATACCACAAATGAGATCAGGTTGTCAAAAGCTTCCAGGGGATCTATTTGGGGCCACTAAACCAGCTTATGCACAATTGTTCTGCCGAGGTGCCCCTCAAGGCTTCTGCTTCTCACAGAATCCAGAACAGCTTGGTCAAACATCTCGGTACCATCATCGCATTTGGAGGCGGCCATCTCTTCAATCCTTTGTCGTTCAATGATCCAGACATGGATGCCAGTAAGCACAAGGGTGCCAACGCCAAAAAACACAAAAATGTTAAACAAATAATGATGCAAAAGGGTCAGCCAACCCAAAGTGCAGCAAACATCAGCCTCCATGCACCAGTCTTGCTGGCTGAGCCGTACCACAGTCCTGCTGCCAGCTCTTCGAACACTGACGCTATGTACCAGCAGGATGCCTCAACAAGAAGAAGGCTTAGGCAATGAGAGGTCTTTCAGGCAAGTCACTAGTTATCACGAGGTGCAAAAAAGAAAAACCTGACTACTCTGAAGTGAAGTACGATCCATGAACAATGCTTGTTTGAACTTGTTCATGGTGAGGATCGAATGCCACCGCGAGCTGGAGACCTTCGCAGTCCCATCTAGCAGCCACCGGGGCTCCAAGAGCAGATCCCGCGAATATGCTGACAGGGTTGTTGGGGAACATATCAAAACTTTTTGACAATGCTCCAGGGTGTAAAGCTGGTTTTGGGGTTGTTGGGGAGCATATCAAACCTTATTGACAATGTTCCAGGGTGTCAGATGGTTTTGGGCAACCCCCGACCTGATGCGTCCCACTTGAATTGATGGAGATGGCAGTTGATGCGGTCCCAAACTGTGTCGTCCACCCCCCACCTCAAGCACAATCAAGCCAGCATCGACCCGGAAATTACGACTACCGGACACCTATTTCACCCACAGAAAGGGCCAACCATTGAAAGGCTAAACAAGTGCATCAAGCAACTTTGAATGCATAGAGCTGCATTGCAGTATCCGGTCCAACCTGGTACTTTGGATTTGCTGCTGCCACGCCGTACGAGTTATACTCGGCAATGCTCTGTAGGAATGCATTCCGGTATCCATCGCTACCACTGAAGGCACCAGGATCCTGAAAAAGGGGACTCCAACATGGCAAAAACAATAAATCACCATCAGCAGCCTATTGCTGGAGCTTTGTTTTGTTCAGGTCCACTAGTTGCTAGCTGCCACCCAAATGTATGTTGGGGTAGCAAATAGGCCATCATACCATACCGGAACCCTCTCCTTATACATGAGCTCTTGGGTCCTCCTTGCAAAGACCAGACACTTCTGTATGAGGTTCTTCCGCTCACGTTGAGCCTGTTGCTCAGACATCTGGATCCTCTTCCATTCATAATGGGACTCATCACTTTCTTGGCCAACCCTGCACGCCAAGGTTGCCACACTCTGAAGCCACCTGGCCAGCTGGCAATTGGTGGAGGCTTGCAGAAAGGGACAAATAGGAAACAATACTCCCAAACCACCTCCAAACCGAGTATGGAAATATTCCGCAGATTATACCAAAGGACGAACTTTTCGCGGCAGATTATCTGCAGATTATCCCAAAGGACGAACCTTTCGCTGGAAGGTTCACCCCTGGGGATGGGAGGAAAGACATTCTGCGTCACGGATTTTGGCTTTCTTAGTGCCCGCCCCAAAGGACGAACTGTTGGCCGGAAAGTTCACGTTTGGAGATCTTCTGCGAGCCCTGGACTTTATCATTCCTTCAGTCTCCTAGCCTAGTCTCAATAAATTTTCATATTGTTCTTCAATTGTGAGTACTTAGACATCCTCAGGGGGGGCCCGGCAGATTATCCCCAAGGACGACGTTTCCAGCGAACAGTTCACCTTTGGGAGCTTCCCAAAATTTCCACCAAATCCACGACGCATAATGTCCCAAAGTCTAGTTTTACATAGTTGTACCGATCCATCTTCCCAGGCTAGACAGAATATCACTGCATAATATCACCGATGAAGAATGGTCCCATTGAGTGGTTTCGTTCCAATTTTCAGACAAGAAAGGTCCCCTGATCAGGCCTGCAGAAGTCGTGCTTGCTAGAATCGCTCATCTCATCTTTGTGCAGGAAAGTCCACAATGCTCCAAAATAGATCACCGAGAGCCTGCCCAAGCCTTTCGTGCAGTGGAGCCGTCCATGTTTGGTGGCTTCCCTGGCTTTGCATTCCATGGGCTCCCTGAATCGATCATACCCTGTGAAAAAGATATCCATGGCCAAGTCTTTCCACATTGGGAGCAGTGGAATCCCATCAGCTGGCATGTGGTACCAAACTGAAGTAAGAGGTACCTCGATGAGTTTGTTCGGGTCCAGATCCTGAGTTGGGTCATGAGATTCTGTGGGTTGGGAAAGAACCACTGCAGACAAAGGAAAACATTGAATGTTCGACCCACGTGAACAAAAGAGAATATATTGGCCATGTTTGGCTTAGAAACTGCTGGGTTTGTTGCGAATGGGCTTCCAACCTGTCCAGGAGCGATCTCGTCGAGCCATGACCACAAGGCTTCTAGGATGCCCTCTCCAACGCTCATTGTGTCAATAAGCCATTTAACTGGATGTTCTCCTCCAGCTACATCAAAGGTCCTACAGATGGCATTGGATGGTCCCAGCCGACACAACACCTGGCAGCCTCCTAGTTCCCTCCCTGTTGGGCCTGAATCTGACTAACCACGGCAAGAGGTACCCATAGGCCCATAGGTGAGAGTTCCCCTAGAACATGGTCTGATATTGAATGCAAGGTTCCCCAAAGCATTTGCCATGAAGTCATCGCACCAGGGTTTCGACGGTCTAGCGCTCTTTGCACCCCCTCCCCTCGGAGGTGCAGCGCGCTTCGACATGGCTGGAGAAATGAACGGTCAAGGCCTGCTAGCCGGTCGCCGTGGAGGGAATGCAGTCAACTTGTTCACAAGGACATGGCCTCTCAAGAACATGTCCGACATGTTCCTAACGGGACATACCCAAAGATCCAAGCATGGCAGCCAAGTTGTTGCAGTTCTTTTGCACGGACAAACCCACACCGTCCTATTCCAAAACAGTTGCACTGTTGTAGGTACAGGCGCAACACGGGTGCATTTTCTCCAGACCCTAGCTTCAATCGCTGTTTGACCAGTGAACCAGTCATTGTCCAATTAACGTTCAGCTCAAGAAAACAAACTTGCATCTGCTCAGCAAATTACAGCCTCACTTTTGGGGGATCTTTTGCAAACCCAAGGCTGCACACATCATGACAGCACCGATGCACGGCACTGACATGGCATTCCCTGCCATTTTGACCTGAGAAGTCCTGGCTACATCTCCCAATTGCAGCATGATGGATCCGCTGTCCCGTGCTTGCTTCTTCGTGACCGGCAGGACGTGCGATGAAAGGGCTTCGTCAGGTTCAAGATAGCGGTTGTGGGCCTAGTCGGGAAAGCAGCTTGGCATTGAATTGAATAGTAGGTAGTCTTACAATTTGGTCACATTGAACTGATGACCCTGAAGTCTATTTGGGGAGAAGGCTGGCCTGACTGAAAATGCGGCCACTGTTTGTAGTCAACGTTTGAAGGCAGCCATCTTTGCATTCCCCCCTTGCTCTTCCGTTTCTGCAAATCTGATTAAGGTCAGGATATTGGTAAGAGGTCTTCTCCTGGTAGTCCTTGAGATTCGATGCCTAAGGCGATGACAGTTAGTGAGCTCGAGTAGTTCAATCACAAGACCATACAACTACCTAGTTACTAGCAAAAATAACAACGAAGTAGGGTTTTGGTTTCGAGCTTTCACCCCAGTGCCACACAAAGGTGCTGCGCTTGGCGTGAGTTTCGCCTTTGGAAGGTCTTTGAAGAAATAGGCCCCGGCATTCATGGTCACTTGGGATCTCAAGCACTCAACGAATGAGTGGAGAGTGAAGGGACAAACCCACCGGACTTCCTCCCGCTTCCAGCAGATCATGAAGACCCTTGCCCTGCTGCAGGGCAGCCCCAGCAGTCTTGGATCCACTCTGATAGAAACCAGATCCCATTGGCCGCCCAGTTCTCTCTTGACCAATGCCTCTTTGTATTCTGTCACATTCTCGATTATAAGTACCGAGTTCTTGCTGTTTCTCATGTTGGCATAGTAAGACACATGTACCTCATGGGATGGTCCTGTCTCTTGCAAACGCCGTCCCATGAGCGAGTAGTCCACGCAAACTGGACCTCAACCGAGCTGTGGCAACATTCACACCATCAAAAACAACTGATTTAATCTTGTTTTGGTTCCAAGGTTTGGACCAGCCACATTGACCCTGATGCCTAGAGGCGGGCGGCTTTTTTGGTTTGAAGAGCAGTGTAGTGGAGCATGTCTGTTTCATTCAGAGTGCTGAGACAGGTACAATCCTTGTCTGGATCAGGCTGAAGCTCACACATTTGGTTGTGCCTACTGCAAAAGCAATACTTGTTCTTCGTGTTCATCTGTCTGATGTCTGGGAAGATGCACTGATCATCATCAAACGTTGCTTTCAAGACTTTCTGGCATGCCCGGTCAATCTCACAAGCCGAAGTGATTGTCACACCACAGCCAGGTGCAAAGCGCTGTGCAGTAGCTTGGATGGAGAGGGCAGCCTCAGAAATCATGAGTTTCAGGAAGTTTCAGGGGCTCTTGAGGCAACAGGACTTGGGACAGGACTTGGGTCGTAATATTTAATTGGAACTCTTCTTGCGACAGGACTTGGGTCTAGACGTTCTCAGCACAACCCACTCCGGTGAATGCCGTTGATAGACTCCATCTCCACTGTGAGAGCCTCTGTTTGACCCACGCAACGCCGTATACTTTCGCGATACGATTCAGGAACATCGGAGCCCATTTGTAAGTACCACCAATTGTCCGAAAACGGACGGGGTCGTACAGAGTGGCCATGGGCACTGAAGTCTTTGGGTAGTAGCGCCTCAAGAAAAAAGATATTGAATGAGTAAGCGACAGCATTGCACACTATTCCACAAAGAAATGAGATTCAGACTCTGTGGTCTTCAACTGTTTGTTCCTGTCACCAGTATGCATGAGGCAAAAGAACCATGGGCTCGTGACTCCTATCAAGTCCATTCGATAAACTTCGAGAACACACTTGATAGGACTTGGGACCCCGCTGCCCCGACTTCTTCTTCTTCTTCTCAAAAAGCGTTTTGCTGACCGTCCTTGAGTTTCTGGCTTACTGTCAAGACATGTCAAGACCTTCCGGGAGGCCCTGAATCATTCCCACAGGTTCAACCCAAAGGACAGGGTGGACCTGTAGTTGGTGACATTTAAACGCAACAATTGGGGAGAAGCAAGTTGTGCATCCAAGGCCGGCTATGGATCGTGGCACAGAAGCTTGGCCGGAGTTTGTGTCGGGTTCCATATGAAGCTGTGTCCACATGAGCCAAACCCAAAGCCCAGCTAGGAGACTGACTTTCGTGAGGCAGCCCCTCCAGGCTTTGAAGCTTTCTTCCTGGGCGCGCTGTTGAATGTCTCCCAAACGAACCAGTGATAGTATGAGGTCCTACTTAGTTCATTATCCTTTTACTTTGAGACTGCACTTTCGGAGTCTTCCCCGCTCACTGCTAAAACATTCAGTCAGTCTGACATAGTCTGACCATTAGCCGTGAAAACAAGGGGTCTCTCTCTCTCACCTAAGGATAAAACTGGGTGGGCCTCGTAGCCAGCGCCCTGCCAGCAAGCAGCAAGCAGAACGGGATGGTTAAACAGGAAACTGGATGTGCAAATCAAACCTTTGGTGGGCCTGAGCACTCTGGATTGTTTGCAATCTGCACGGCCCCTAGTGAAAATAATTTCACTACAAAGGGTGAGATGTGAAGGCTTTTCCCATCACCGAATGCTCACACTAAGTTTAGAACTTGCACTTTGCTGGACACCTGGATTGTTTCAGGAAGTTGCGTTTGGTATCTAAAAGACATGCTTTGAACAGGCTTGATTGAGCTCGTAACTTGCTTTTCGCACACTGCTTAGTCACCTTCGCCATTTGCCTAGACGATCTTGTAACAGTCATTATCTCGTTTGAATATTTGATAGATGCTAGTGAGCTAGTGTCCTGGCCTTGCACTGCCTTGAGGCACTTTCAAAGCTGCAGCTACTCCCTCACGAAGGCTCAAAGTCCTCTTGCCCATCGTGGAGATTTGAGCCTCGTCCCTCCAGAAAGGCGAGAAGTTCCTTACAGTAACTGTCAATGGCAGAGGTCCTTCACAGACTGCAACCACTTTGCAGAATCAATAGTCTCAGTCCGATTTGTTTCACTTATGATTTTGTATGCCTCTTACAAATAAAAGGCTGTGAATTAGCATCGTTTGATAGAAGCAGCCCCGACCGCAGACTCAGACTGGGTCTGTGGCAAAAACTTCTGAGCTAATTAAACTAATTGGTGTTCACGGCGTTTCTTCGCCATGCTCAACCTTGTCCATCTCACTTAGCTGTTTCGCCCAGGTTTGTCTGATGAAGGTGCTCTCAGCCTCCAACAAACTGAAACAAACAGCCCTGCCAGGTGCTTTTCAAGTTTGAGATTAGCCCAGCCTCGAAAAGCCAACGTTTTTCTTCGGGAATCTGGAGACATGTGAAATGGATATTTCAACTGTCTCACTGTTTAAGAGGTGGTTTTGTCACAATTCCAATGGCAACGCTTCTTGAACCAAGCCTGGGAATCTGCAAACTCCCATGGGTCACACGCCTGGGTACCAGCATGAATGTCACTCCTGCTCTCAGGAATCAGGAACCAGCCTCTTTGCTCTCATCGATGGGCGCAGCGTCTAAGCAGAAGACCTGGCACCAAGACACTTTCAGTTGTGGTGGGGGTGGAGGGAAACACAACAGCAGAAACAATCAACTTCACAAGCTTGTGTCGCAAGGGCTTGGTGATGGCAGGAAGCGTGGGGAAGATTGCACTGACCATGCCTTGGTGGAACATTTTGGAAAAAGAGACTGAAATAGACTAGTAAGAAACCTTTCTGTTTGAAAGACTTGGAAATCTCATTGAACTGGGCCTGAGAGGTACTCCATGTGACCACTCCACGACCTTGGAAACTGTGTTTTATGTAGTTTAGGAAACATGTTGTTAAGCAGTACCCTCAGCATCAACTGTCATCCAAGGTGAAACTGAACAACACTGGCTTCACCCGCCTGAGTGAAGTGGCTGGCTCGACTTGCTACCCAGAGCTCCTTCAGTAGTCCCAAAAAGAGAATCGATTTGAACACCAAAAGCCCATCAAGTCAAGTAGAAGGTTCCTGTAACAGAGGAGCACACAGTAAGTCGAGAATAGGAATCTTGAGTTTACCTGAGAATGACAGTCACGCACCCACTGCCGTCCTTGTGCGATTGTCAGCAACGAGCTGTGGATGTCACGCCAGCAGCGAGAATAAGTTGGACATGTGATGGAATCTGAAACTGTGTTTAGTTTTCTAATGCTCAGGAGTAGAGACCTAGCAAAGTTCCATCTCAAGCTCAAAAGTGTAAAGGCCATGGAAACAGGCAGGGCTGACATCAGGGACAACCTCTGGAGTGGAACGGCTCGCCTGCTCCACTGCTGTACATTGTACATTGGAAAAAGTTTGACTCACTGCTGGATCTGGTCCTGCTGTGGAGTGGGAATTGCTCGCTCTTGCTCCTAAACTTGGCAATGTAACATCCTCTACCTGTAACGTAGTGTGGATAAAGTTCCAACAAAAGCCCAAATTCTGAATAAGTGCAGCGCATCCTTGACCACTCCATGTTTGGCCTTGAAGCGGGTTAGCCAGGTGAGCGAAACTATCACCAAGGGAGCTAGTGCTGGCTAAAGCATGTTTCACCTGTGCACTGAATGGGTTGCTGGCACTAGCTAGGCCACACATCTTACTTTCGAAAGTTGGTCATGCAACCCTGCAATCTAAGTTGAACAAAGTATTCAACTTGGGGAGTCCGCTTGGCGTTGGACTTTTTTGAGAGGAGGTTGCTGAATGCCTTGCCATGCAGGTGAGTCGGCAACGCCAGGCACAACTCATGCAGTGAACTTGTAGCCAGAGCTGTAAAGTACAACAAACTATAACAAACTCTTGTTTGCAAAAACATCGGCCTTGAATCACTTCCAAGGCCATTGAAACCACCCACCTTCCACCCTCCTTGCCCAAATGGCTGCACCACATGCACGCACGCACACATACCAATCATCACCGATCTGTCATCATGTTTGTGCTTTCAACAGCCCCAAAGCAGTTTTGTTGTGAATGCAAAGTTCTTTCTCAAGACACTTTCGAGAACCAGGTGTGAAACCGACCCTGGCTCCTCAAGCTACTTTGCAGCTGGGAGCAAGAATCCTTTCGCAACCTCTATCCTCAATGTTTATCCATTGAGTTGTGCCCTAAATCGCATGACTGGTGCTAGCCTGTGCAAAGATGATGGCAAGCCAGTGTTGATCCCTTCCGGGTCCGAGTCCTGAGTCAGTGTACAAATGTCAGAAGGACCCTCCAGGCCCTCCGGGTCCTAAAACCGTTTGCAAGCAAAACAGCAGCAATTCTGCTGAGACACAGCCTCCAGCCAAGGTAATGTCGGGACACTCCCTGGTCTGACATATGTCATTGCACAGGTTTACCTAGGTTCCGCTGGTTGCCAAGTCGGTGCTATCAAGTGAACACTTCTTAAAACTGTATCAAAAGACGAGTAACCAAAAACTGAACACTTCGCGCAGAAGTCTCAGCAGGCGCTCGTGTCAAGATGAGGCTTGCAAGCGCAAGATAGTCAGTCTTTTTGTTTGGTTTGGTTGTCTTCAAACATCGGGCCATGTTGGGTATTGGCTGCAATCTCTGTGTGTATCGCTTGGGCCAGCAGAGCACCGGCTCCTTCAACAAACCATTCATTCATTGAACCACTCACAAAGCTCCATCAACACCATCAACGCATGTCACAAATCACAGCACTACCAACAAGCAGACAAGCCTGGACAAGGAGGGTGTCTGATGCGAAGCGCTTTAACAACATCACGACGTCATCCGGATGAGACTCCAAGTGTGCCCCTCGCCCCTCTGCAATGATCGTCAGGTTCCGTGGTATGTCTGCAGGGACAACTCACAGACTGAGTCGAGTTGCACAAGTTTGAACGACATGATTTTGAACGATTAAGTTTTGGAACACTGAACCTGCTCTTCTCATCATGAGGTACGCGTGTAAGCCTGACGAATCTTCCTTGAAGCCTCCTGAGAATGTGCAAGGGGCTGAGGACAACCAATCTTTCCACGGCCGAATGGCATCAATGTACTCCACCTTGATGGTGCAGGTGGGACCAATCCAGGAGCGGATCCCGATTTTCTGCAAAATCCACAGTAGCTTCCTCAATCAAATGAAATGCAATCTTGCAACATCCATCAACCACCATCCACCATCCATCCAAATCCATCAACCTTTGACGTCACCCATCCAAGTCACTCCTCCAAGTCTGTCTCATCGCAGACTATGTCCACATACTTCATGGCCGTGGCCACCAGCCCGAAGAGTTGATCTGGAGATCAATCCAACAAGATAAGGACTTGAGCAATCAGACACATCAAAACACTGGTGCATTGAAATGGAAGGCGAGGCGCCGAGAACGCCGTGAGTGTGGCCTACTCTTGCAAAGAGTAAAGCCGCCAGTTTGAATTTCCCTCGGGAAACCAGCCAAGAACACAGCTTTAGGCACCACTGGTTCTTTGTCTCGCGGACACAGTTATCCGCCTTGGGCCCGTGCAATGAGATGCAATGTCTTTGAAGAAACAGACTCTGACTTAGAAGCGGTGTTCTTTTGCAAACGGTTTTACAGCGCTAGATGCAGTTCAAGCTTCCCAAAGGAGAAGCTCCTTTGGGCGGGGGGGGCCCCTCGCTCCTTGATTGCATCCATAGCATACTCGATGCTCCGCAAGGTGGTCTCCATCACCATGCTTGCGTCCCCCGCGCATCGGGGACTGAGTATCCAGAAAATCAGTGTTACATTATGTATCCTTAATTGACAGCGCAAGTACACGGGAACCAGAAGCTCAAGCAAAACGAAAGGAACAACACATAACTGTGAAAGCGTTGTTGCTTCTCTTCAAAAGTCCACACTCCCTGGATCTTGAACTTTGGTTTCTGTAGCGGCATTTCGGATTTAGTCATTCGCAAATGACGATTTCTTGGCACTGACCACTTTGCTTGGTCCATTCCGTCCTTATGAATACAAGGTAACACAAGCATACCCAAGCATTCCTCAACAAATGACTGACGTATCTTGAATCGGTCCAGGTGCAACGTGAAGTGTCAATGCATCTCCAGCATTGCTCAATGGATTCTGGGCCTGGTTGCAAGTCTATAGGCTGGCAAACGCCCCTAAGTCAACATCCTTGAATTTCAACTCAACTCTGATTGACTCTGCCTGGAGGTAATCTTCCAAAGCCCTGTCTTCTCCTACCTGGTCCACGTGCTGCTTGTAGCTCTTGGCAATGTCGAACCGTCTCTGCATGTCGCTTACCTGAGGAGTGACAGAGTCTCTATTACAATCTCCAACACACAATTGCATCAAAGCAAACCTGAAGTAGCCAAAGGGAACCAAAGTGCAGGAGTGGTCCTGAATAGTTCCTTGTAGTCACAGCAATCATCGCACGTTCCGTGCGTGCTTTGTGGTAAAAACTTCAGGATTGGCCTCCAATATTTGTCATATGTTTGCCAGAATAGGCCATACCTTGTGACTTGGTACGTGCATCAATGAACGCCGAATGAAAATAAGGCTATATTATCTACAATGCACTGCTGCTTTACGCATTGCAGTTGAAGCACGACACCCCTTCTCTGCCCCACTGATGGAACAGCATGCGTATGTTGCCTGGAGGCAACCATCTTGTAGGAAGGGATTGCACTGATTGGCAGAAGTTGCTCTCGACTGCCCTGGGCTGGCGCATGGGCGGGCCGCATCTCAAGAACAGAAGACAAGGGTTTCCTCATGAGTTCCGATGGCTAAGCTTATGGCTGCGTGAAGAAGGAGTTGGCACCGAGAAGGTGCATCCGCAACTCCTCATCGGACTCGATGCTCTCAGCAGGAATCTGCAGGTCTGTGTCTGGCCCTCCTGAATCTGAACTACCTCAGAGCTGGAGATTCAAGATACCCAGCGAAGATACATAGCGACGAAGTCAACACAGTAGCTGAGACACACTCCGCAACAAGCAACAATTCACTCAAGATACCCTCATCGTCGGACAGAACAGGATTGCGCTCTTCCAGGACAACTCTGAGTTTCTCTGGCTTCATCTTTCTTGGGCGACCAGATCTACAAAACCTTGACTGAATCACGAAACACAATCGGTCGTGAGAAACCACAAGAATCTTGAAGCTAGGTTCAACATCCTGTGCAACACTTCCCATGATGACTGAACCAGGGTACTTATCAGGCAGCATGCCTGCTGATTTCATATACACGCTCAGCAGGAACTGGTTGACCAGCCGCATTTTCACCGGGGATTTCTTCTTTGCCTAATGTTTCAGACAATACAACGAAGTCTCAATTGCCACAACTCACTGGACATGGAAATTATTGGAAACTGTTTCTACCGAGATGCCCCTCCCCAAACGCCGAATCTGCGATCCATTCTCCCTCGCTCAACCCGCTGAAGTCTGGAATTCCCAACTCCCAGAATCGCTAAGCAGCACTTGGGTCCAATGCATCGGCCTAGCAGAATCCAAGTACGACGCTGAGTACCTTCACGCTGTCCACCTGTCACACTCCTCAAGTACTCATCCTGAACATGCTTGGCCAATGACCAGAACAGCTTCAGAAATTGAAGCAATGCTTGTTTGAGGTCAACCACCGCTTGATAGCAGGTTCGTCTATGACATCTGCATGATGCTTTCGCCCTCAAATGGTCCAGTCGTACTGAATCAGCTCCATGCTGACCCCACCTTGGCAGCGCGAGAAGCCACTAAGCCCACCCAACAAGCAGTTAACAGTTGGCATCCGATAGTCAACAGTTAACAAACTAACTACAACAACAACAACAACGACAAGAGGTTCAGTCTAGGAACGGCATTCGGTCTGGCATCTTGGAGTGAAACTTCCTCTTGGCGTTGTTATAGTTTGGGCGCTTTCGGTCTGGTACTTTGGCTTCTCTAGCTGTTTTGCCCTCCAAAATCCCTGAAGCTGTATCTTTGAAGGACATCAACCCTTGCAGGGAAAAAAATTGCTGATGCCTCTTCCTTCACCGTTTCTGATTCCGGATTTGGTGGCTGTGATGTGCCAACGCTGTTCAGATTGGAGATGAACTTCTTTCTGACAGAAACATTTGCCTTCTCAGAGAGAGGCTCACTCCTAGCAAGTGGCTTCGCAACGACTGAAGCTCCAGATCCTGAACTTGGGGCGGTGACCAATCCAGTGGGCCCTCCACTGGAAGCAACAGGTTCCAAGCTTCTAATGAACAACCTGCGCTTGTCTGACATGGCTTGACCAGGCCAGGTGAATGAGTCTAAAACAAATGTGGCTGACTTGTGAATGAGTATAAAGCGACAAACTATCTGGTCACTTCCCCTGATATAATGTCGCTTGGAAAAGCTCCTTCAATGATGAACCCCCAAACGGTCTGTAGATTCATGGACCTTCACTGTTAATGAGCTCAATGCTGCTCCACAAACACTGTCATTCGACCCTCTTGAAAACGGCACAAGCACATGCAGGTTCACTGGGAATGTAAGTATTCCAAAGATCTCCAAACTAACCCTGGGATTCAGACGAGCAAATGGAGAAACTTGGTGCAGCACCATAACCTGCACATTTCTTACAGGTTTCAAAACTCATGGTATGGATGATTTTCCCTGCTTCAGACTCACTGCACGAGACGCCAGCCTGCGTCGCGTTGGTGCCCAAAAGGATCGGGACCAGGGTGAGATCCAAAGGAGAAAAGGCAGCCGGCCGAGCACTCAGTGAGCTGTTTAGGGATTGGATTTGGATGTCATGGGACCTGAATGTCAGCGGATGACACCTGAATACAACCAAATCTACTTCTGGATTGTTGGGGATGGGATGGTCTTTGTGAGCGCCATGTACTTTGGAGCTTTTGTTGCCCTATGGCCACAGCATCATCACCGGAACAAAGGCCCTTTTGTCCAGTTCTTTTTGTAATACCCCTACTACCAGGACCTTCCAACAGGTCACCACCTGCGACTTTCAAGTCTACAAAAGCCTCCATGTCGGAGACCTGGCAGGGAAGGTGCTGGTATTCGCTTCTGCATCAAATATCAGAGCTTCTGGCATCGATCGCTGCGACCCGTCGTTCTTCACGTCGTTCTTCTGTGACGTCACCGCAGGAGTTGATGGGCCCTGCTCTCGGTCCAGATGGGCGCCATCGCGGATTGGGCGTCGGTCGGACGGTGGGGAGAGAGCGCGAGGATGCCATCCTGGCTGTCCGCCTGAAGAGGTGCAACTGGAAGCAACTGATAGTCACCCTTGTTGAAGGTATTAATGACCCTTGAAGCCCACCCGAAAGACCTTCTCAGAAGGTGCTTGGAGCCTTAGGGTATAAGTCAAACCATGCACGGCAACCAGTGCCAAGTTGAGGTCATGTGGGCGTTCCGTTGCTGACGCTTCATCCCTTCTTCCACGAGCTGGATGTGGCGCATCCGCAGGCGTAGCTGGGGGGGCTGTGTGAAGCGCTTTTCAGCGAGCAGCCAGCATGTCAATCTGAAGATTTGTCGGGAACCAGACACACTGGGAACATGTGTGGGCCTAGTTTCTAGATCTAAGCCAAGAACCACGAGATCGTGGACAAGGATCATCCAACCCAAGAACCCTACGTATACTAGATTAAGGACTCAAAAACGACCGGCCGATAAGGATGCCGGGCTGGTTTGTTCCGATGATCCCAGTTTCGCCGTTCACCCAGCCCTCCGTCTCCGTCTCCGTCTCCGCTCAACTCCAAACGCGGCAGGCGATACGAGAGGTCCGCGCGCGGTCCGCTCGCTCTGAGCGGCAGACGGGAGCGAGTTGCTATCGACATTGGGACCGAGAAGTACCAGGACCCTCCGACCTTCGGGGTGTCCTGGCTGGACTACCCCACACTACCGGCCTAGGCTTTCACTTAGAGGGTCCTGGTATGTTTCTCTGGGAGGCGACAGATGGGTTTCTCAGCACATTGAGCACACATGGAGCACACATGTCAGTTCTTCATCAGCATATAGGATATCCCTTTCATCCCTAGTAGGTTGGAGTGGTTCTGGATGCCGTCGCTATTCGTAGCTACTTAAGCTTATAGTAGCTGCGCTAAGTTGAACTGAATTGTGACCATCTCTCCTGTCATCGGGTTCATCGATGGACTCACGGCACTGAAGCGAACGATGGTTGTGCAAGGGGATGGCAGCGTTGGAAGTGTTTCACCACTTGTCATGATGTTGTTTGAAGTGTTTGGGCGGTGTTTTTGAGAGGTTCTGAGAAGAGGAAAACCATGCTACTCTGATCTGAGTTGCTATTGTTTTCCAACATTTCTTTTGCGACCCAATCATGAGAGCTGGTCACATGCCCACTCAGTCACTCAGTTGCTGTGTCCATGGTAGAATCTTGTGAATTTTTGCTTTCCACCGATGTCGTTGCCAGGTGGTGAATTGCTTGCAGCAACTCTTTTACAGCCCCACACAGGACGTGGAAGCTTGCGCTGCATGGATTTGTGTTCCCCGCCAGACTTCTCCATCCAAATTCCAATTCCAAATTCCTTTGGAGGAGAAGGTCCAAGCACGGACGCATGTAATTTTCTTGCATGTGGAACTGATGGAATCTGGCACATGTTGGAACTGGGAAAGAAGATTGGGCAACTTGATCAAGATGTTTCTTAGAGTGGGACGGTGGAACCAATACAGGAGCACCTTGCTGAAAGTGTCTATATAGCAGAGCATTTTGAGGTCGATGACCTCAACAAAGGTCGTAAAGTCGTTCAAAAACGAACATGAATCTACTTCTAATATTGGCATAATATTCTAGCATTTTCTCTACTTTTGTACCCGGGATAAGAAGAGAGACCGCCAAAAAGAGAGGTTCAGTCTGTCAAGCTCCGCCTGGGCTGCGGCACTTCTCCTGTCCTTCGCAGGAGATCTTTGTGACCTCCACGACGGCGACCTCGATGCGTTTCATCGCCAAGGGCCACGCCACGTACGCCAAAGAACCGAGTCATGCGACCACCAAGAGGCGAATGGGGGCATCGCGACTCGAACGGGGCTCCTGGCATCGCGACTCGAACGGAGCGTTCGGACGCTACGAACGGGGCTCCTGGCCGTACTACGAGGAGCATCCTTACTACTATAGTAACAATGTTTGCTATTATATAGAAACTAAGTAAATACTGATGACTAGGGACGACTTTGCTCATGGATGGGACGACATGCTCGGTGTGAGAAGTTGGGGGCGAATGACTGGGATGGTGAGTGCTGATGGAGCTGTGGTTGATTGTGAGCTGATGGTTTGATTAGTGGAGCTGCGTGGGGTGGATCTAGTCAAAAGAATAATATAGGAAAGTAGACCTTTGTGTTCTGGACAATGTGGCGCTTGAGACCAAGGTTTTGGCAAAGTATTTGATAAAAGGGTGATCCCTCAGTCGCACCACTATTCCACTATATATGCGAAGTTGCAACGTGTGTGTCCCTTTATTCCTGTACCCAGACCATCCATGGGACTGCCATATTTGCCGAGAAACGGCCAGGGGTGGTGCCAGGGGGTCTGGGGCGGCAGTCCGGACTGCCAGTCCCATGGAGTGTTTGGGGTGTGATCCCCTCCCACCACCAACGTCGTGGACACGATGACGAGCCCGTCTGCAGGATCAAGACCGAAGTGAAGGTCAATGCTGGACAACATGTGTGACCCTTAGTAGTTGACGGAGTAGATGAGTTCACCTAGACCTGAAGATCCTTTTCAGGCGCGAGTACGCAACCGTTCAAAAGACCATCCTCGAACGCTATAGCATGGGTCAAGTCAAACGTACAGCTCTTTAGTCGCGATGGTGTCTTCACCTGTTTGGAGGGAAGGAAGCGATAGAATCCAGGAGTCATCCAGGCGTTTGGGTCTCGTCCCAAAGCCGGTGGGATTTCGGGGTTCGAATTCCGGGACGTCCAACCCCCGGCAGCGAGGTGGCCGAAGCCGGGCTTTGGCTGGCAGATTGGATCCATCGTGGGACCTTGACGGTGCGAGAGCGGACGCGGATGGTGCGAGACGCGGCAGGTAGGTCAGCGAGCGACGAAGACATGTCGGTGAGGATGTTCGGTTGATAGTAGTTGGTTGATAGCACGAGCTTGGTATCGTTGTAGTCGTAGATATGTGGTCGACTTTACTTAAGTAAGGGACATCAAGGTAGAAAACTTGGGAGTAAGGTAGGATTCGGATGGTATAGCATTGGTGATAGGCCTGGGTGAGACCTTCATGTCCCACAAGTTTGTGATTAATT